AACGGCTGAAGGCAGGAAGGAAAAACAAAATCTATCCCTGTCATGGGAAATCCGGTTCTCAGTAAGGAAAGTCCTTCCATCTGTCCTCTATGGTCCACTAGAGTAGGGTCCTCCCAGCCTTGCTGCTGCCAGGACATGATGGTGAACATGGAATGGTTGTTGCTGCTATGCTATCCTGGGGAACACAGCCCTGGACAGACCCCACACAGAGACTCTTCCTTGTTCTTACACGCTAGATGTGTGTGGTGGTTAATTTTGTGTCACTGTCACTGGGCCATGGGTGCCCAGGCCAAACGTGACTGGTGGATGGTGGTATCCACACTGGTGGCCCCCGTGGTCGATGCCCTGGCCTGTGGGAGTGGAATCATGCCATCTAGTGAGGGCCTGATTTGGACACTGGCAGAAGGGGAACATTTGCACCCTCTTTATACCCACCTCAGCGCCCTGCTGAGCCAGCTGTCCCCATATTCTGCTCAGTCAGGGTAGCACAGCCCCAGCCCATGGCTCCCAGGCCTCAGCTTCAGCCTGAGCTCCATCACCAGTTTGTGTGTGCAGCTGCCAGAATCTGTAGGGTCAATTGTCATAGTATTTCTCCATCTTGCACTCTCTCTCTCAATCTCTCTCTCTCTCCCAGCCTTCTTGCTCAGAAAAACTCATAGTGTGAGTGGGCTGGGATCGGCTGACCTGCTCTATCGCTCCCTTTCTGGGATTTGTATAAACAGGAAGTGTTGGACAGTGACTGAGGTCAGTGTAAATCAAGCACTGATAGGACACTGGCACCACCCCTGCCTGCTTCCAATGGGTTTCCAGTCACTGTGCCCTCCCTTGGTGACTTGCTAAGGCTGGATCCCTGCTGGTCTTGCACACGGACAAAGGGTGAGTGCAGCACCCAAAGGGTGAGTCCTTCAGTCTACATGGCCTGCAGCCAGGTCTTGCTCTCCCAGCAGGCGAGGCAGGGAATGCCCCTCCTCTCCCACAATCAGCTCATCAAGCCAGCAGCGCCCCAGGGCCAGTGTCACAAAGTGGTGACCAACTCAGCCATGGAACAGGATTCAGCGAGCTGGGGATGAGCACACTTTCCCTCACCCAAAGGATCCACAGAGGTTTCTGTAGCAGAGGCTAGGGAAATGGGAGCACACAAACACTCATTAGAAGGAGACTGACAAGGAGGCTCAGCCTTCCTGCTGCACCAGCCACTTGGCCTGATTTAGTCGGTCTGCTTCATGCCAACCTCAGCTGTCACTGCTGGGGAAGGATCCTAGGGCCTGTGCTCAGGAACAGACCTGGTATCACAGCACGGGTGGAAGATCCTTGTGTCTTTCCTTGGGGACAGACCTTGTATCACATCAAGGGTGGAGGATCCTTGTACACAAAAGACCAGCTTCAAACTGCATGGAGCAGGCTTTAGAGATTAATGAAGTGGCTTATAATTCAGCTATTGATTAAAATTATGAGTTACTCCAAGACCTAAGTGTGATCTGCTAACTGACCTTTTAGCTAGTGATTGGAGACAGACTTCCCTATGCCAATAGTCACAATTGAGGTCTCAATGATTGATGAGGTTGTGACATCTCTAATAACAACAACAATGAAAAAAAAACCACTGCAGCTGAGGAATTATGCCTCTATGAAACCATTCTCTAAGATCAAATGTTCGCTAATACAGGTGGCTCATTAGCTATGACCTGCAAGTTAGCACAGGTGGTATGTTAACCGTGACCTATTCTTCACGAATATACATATTACTCCACTTTTAACAGCCTGGCTCATTAAGTGCATTAGTTCTGCTATTCCTGACATCTACTTTCATGCCCCCTTGCTATGTTATATAATCAGCTGTTGATTATATAAAATTATTATATTAAAAACTGACTAATCCAGGGTTTGTGGTCTTAGCCAGGATAGAGCTAAGGTCAGGTGGTCTTTAGCTAAGATCAATTCCCAGCCCCCCCAGTAAAACTATTGTTCATTATACTTTATTCCTTGTTTATTGTATTTTATTCTTTCATCCCCTGCTGTCTCATTAGGCAACTGGGCATCTGCCAGTGACTGGTCAGGCTATCACCCTGACAACCCGTTGGGCTATCACCCTGACAACCCGTTGGGCTATCACCCAACAACCCATTGGGCTATCACCCCCAACACTCATGTCTTTCCTCAGGGCCAGACCTGGTGTCACAGCAGAGGTAGAGGATCCTCGTGCCTCTCCTTGAGGACAAAGACCCTGCTCAGGTTGGAACCCATTCTCAGGGCCTGCATTAGGCCACTCTTGAGCTTCATGTGTTCATCTGTTTCAGCCCCATAGAAGAGATCAAGACAATAAATGGATGGCTATAGCAGGGCTGATGGGTCTATCCTGCAAAGTTCATACGAATACATTATATAGCAATTTTCACTTTATATAAAACATATACATGTAAGTAGTCTATGTAACCCACTCTTTTGATAACTAAATACACTACTTAAAAGCAATGAAATGGAATGTGATTCCACCTCAGAAAGGAAGTTCTGACACCTCCTATAGCATGGATGAACCTTGAGGATACTGTGCCAAGGGAAAGCAGCCAGTCACAGAAGAACGTGGCAGGAGTCTACCCACATACGTCAGCTGCAGGAGTCAAGTTCACAGACTGAAAGTGGATTGGTGGATGCCAGGGACTGGGGGAGGAGACACAGAAACTTATTGCTCCCTGGCAACTGAAATTATTTGGGAGGATGAGAAAAATTCTGGAGACGGATAATGGTGAGGTTGCATACAATGTGAATGTATTTATACCACTCATTGTACATTTAAAAGTGGTTGAAATGATTATTTTTATGGTGTGTATATTTAAAAATTTGAAAAACTAGTATGCATTATTATCAAATGTAGCTGTACTGGTAATATGGTAAGTTGTTTCTCTGGTTGTTTTGGACATAATGTTGAATTTGACTTTATTCATATAAAGTGAATATATTCTTAAAAATTGACTAAAACCAAATAGACCCAATCTCTATAAGTGTACACTCTTTTGTAAATCACAACTGAGGTAGTGCTCTCTTGTGGTATATTCTCCAGAAGTCACAGCTGAGCATTTCTCTCTACACGTGCACAAGCTACAGTCAGTGGGTGTCTGTAAGTCAGCGACGTGCTGGAAACAATCTGGAGAGTGATTCTGAGGATTTCCTGTAAGTGCAGAGGTGGGAGCCAGGAGGGGGTGGCTGGCCCACTGCCACCATGCGTCTGTTGCACCAGGTAAGTCACAGCAGGCACTGGTGGCAGCAGTGGGATAGGTTGGCTTGCCATCTTAGCCCCTGCTCCTAAGATCCTGCTGGGACACAGAGGGAACTGGAAAGGAGAGACTGGGGTCTACAGTGAGAGGGGCCCAAGGTGCTGTACAGAACGATGGCGGCAAGAGTGAACATCCATGGAAAGCAGCAGAAGAGGTAAGCAGGTCTCACCATGCTGGAGGAGGCTGGAAAGAGGGCTCTGCATGCAGCTGCTGTGCAGATGCTGCTGCTCCCCAGCTCTGGTCGGGAGCCACAGGGTGGCCAGAGTTATCTCCCCACCCTGGACCACATCGAGGGTGCTGGGACTCAGTGAAGTGACACTGTGCAGGAGCACCTGTGCTGGGTGCTGTTGGGCTGCCTGAAGACCGCAGGCCCAGCAGTACAGCCCTGATGTCCACAGCCTCGCCCTGCCTAAGGGGGCCACAGGTGCCACCCAGCTCCATGGCTGCCAAGGTCATCACCAGTGTTGCAGCCCAAGCTTCCCAGTGTTTGCCATCTTCCCAAGTCACACTTAGCCTGCAGAGTGGCTTGCATTGCTTTCTAGTCCTGAATTGCCATGTGCACTCCTATAATCTACATCTCAGACCGTGGACAGAATTAGCGCTGTTTCCCTCCCCTGGCTGCAAGCTGAGGACATCCAGGCTTCATTAGCTCAGGCACTGTCTTCCACAAGGCTCTCAGCTGGTCTCTGACTCTGGCTTCTCAACAGTGTGAGGTCCCCGGTCCCTCTATTGGGTTGTCCTGTACGCGCTCACTTCATGCACCAAGGCTGACAGATTGGCCAAGGGCAAAGGGCCTTACCTGGTGTCACAGCTTGACTACCCAAGGCAGACCCAGTCTGTTCCTGCGACACTGAGGACAGCTAGCCACATGCCCCTGGCCAGTGACCTCATCAGCTTTCTGTGAAGTCAGCATGGATCTGACCCTCTTTCCAGCCAGGTTTATATGTCTGTCTCTCCCCATTTCTAAGGCCTCACACTCTGCTTCCCTGTTCCCTAAAATACATGAGCAGACTTCAGGCTATCAGTGATGAACACAGAACTATCATGCTGCTACTTCATGGTTCCTCAGAGCAGCAGCACTGCAGAACCAGTGCAGGTAGCCCTGCCTGCTCTCTGGTCACCTCCTGCTTCTGGCTGGGAAGTATCAGGTACCCCCAGGAAGCACACATCATGCTGGCTCACCAGACAGACAAGGCCACAGTTTCTTCAGGTTGAAACTCAGTGGGTCATGATGCCTCTGCTCTATCCACACATACCTGGATGCGTGACCGGTGAAACAGGGCTAGAATGGCCTGTCGTCACCCAAACCTGCTCTACAGAGGTACCTGGGATGAAAGCTGGTGAGGAAGGGCTGGGAGCTTCAGTGGATGGCTGAGACAGCACCTGAATGGTTCTTGGGGAGGAAGCAGTTAAATGCTGAGCCCTGGCTGTGTTTTTTGAAGAGGTCCAGAGCTAAACATACAGGAGCACCCAGGAGCTAGACCAAGGAGTAGCTGGCTGCAGGCCTAGGAGCACGACTGCTTGTGTGACTCCTCTGAAGGCCACAGTGGGCTGGCCAGGAGTGTCCTCAGACCCACAGTGGACAGCTCAGAGAAGGAGGGTTAGAACCCCCGAGTCTGGGGCAGGTGTGGAGGAGCCAGGACGTGTGATGCTGGCGCTCTAGAACTTCTTGAGCTGGTGACAGCAGGAGTGGACTCCACCACTTCACCAGGACAATTTTTATTTTAAAAAAGAAATACAGCAAAGAATTAAAACAATTTTAATAAAATTAACAAGTTTACATTTGTACAGGTTGTATATCTGGGACCCAAGGGGATGAAAGATAGTTGCAAGGACTGCAAAGACCAGGCCAGGGCCACTCCCACTGTGCATCTGTGTGGCATTGCCACCTCCTCTGCAGCTACCACCCGTGCCCTCTCAGACGTGTACCCAGGCACAGGGCCCCAAAGCCTCTGAGACATGCCTACCTGAGACCTGATAGGCAACAGCAGTGAAAAGTCCACAAAGCTGAGCAGTATGCCCACAGAGTAGTCGTGTAAGCCGAGTTCCGCTCAGACTGTTTTAACCAGGATGGTTGCCTGGAACTAATGAGAGTAGGTCTGAGTGACAGTTCTAACTGCTTTGTTCAATGGCAGCCACAAAACAGAAGTCTAGTTAGAAAGAATTTGTCTTAAAAATAGGATCTGACAAAAAGACCTTGTGAGGGTGTGAGAAAGGTTAGGTAACAGTTTTTAACAGATGAGACGACTGTGCACGCTGTCACAGAATCTGCTTGTGTCAGGCTTCAGCAGAGATGGAAACTGCTCAACTCCATTCTCATTCTTTGGAAGGATGACATTTATCTCAAAATAATGCTCAGTGTTCAGAGACAGACTGGTGGCCCCATGTTAGAAATGGGCAACCACAGGCATTTTTCAAGACTGCACCCAATGTATTGCAGAGGAAACTGCTTTTCAAAGTGCAAAGGCGCATGAACAGTAACTCGCTCTCCAAGGAATTCAAACCCCACTTCCTGGAGGTGACAGCAACATCCAGGCACAGTGAGTGCTCTGGGAACAGCTGTCCACAGGGAGCTCACAGCTGGGTCTCGGAGTCACACCAGTTTATGCAGTACAGAGTAGAGCAATAGGAAGAACTTCCTTATTGTTTATTCTTTAAATAACTGAAACACAGGAAAAAATATTGCCAATTCTCCCAAATAATGCAGAGGTGCTTTTGCTTCTTGGCTCACTTGCGACCTGAGAGGTAAATCTAGACTGATCATTTGAAGACAGCAAATCCTTTTACAGCCTGGGCAGTGTGTACTTCCTTGCCTCCAAGAGGCCTGGGTGTATGGAAAGAGAGAACATGCTCTGGGCCCTCTCATGTTCCTTGCCAGCCAATGCCGGCTCCCCAAGACTCCAATATCCCAGGGAAGACGTTCACAGGTTCACAGGTGGGCAGTGAGGGGACAGTAACCACAGTGTGTCAGGAACGGACACAGAAGCAAGAAACTTGTGGTGATGGACAAGAGACAGATTTCTGGGGTTCAGGGGCCCCACAGGACAGGCAGAGGGGCAGGGAGGTAAGGCAGCCTGACCTGACATCCCTCAGGACTATGCAGATGCCCCCACAAGCCAGGGCTGCCCCAGGCAGAGGCAGCTTCATCCCCACCCTGCTAAGCTCATGATGTGAGCAGCCCCTTCTGTGAGGCACACCCCGCTTTGTGCACCATTCTCCTTTTTGATTCCCAGGTTTTCAGGAGGAAGCATATTGTGAGGAGAAAAATCACCCCTAGTGAATATGGCAGGTCAATTTCCAAACAAGAGAAAAACTCCAAAGCTGCTGCAAGTTCAGACAAGAACACCAGGTTGCACAGGCTCATGGTGGAGTCTCCTAGAGCCTGCCTGGTCCTCACCCACCTGGGTCCCCTCAGGAGGAGCAAAGCAGCTTCTCTGGGGCTTCAGCGATTCCCAAACACATTCCGGTTTGCCAGGTAGTCAGAAGCACAGCAGTGCTTGAGGAAACGAGGCAGGAGCCATAGGAAGCAGTAACGTACCCCATGTCCCCAAGGCCAGCTCTTCACGGGGCAAAGGCAGCACTGCCCAGGTGCAGATGCCAGGCCCGGGCCAGAGGGCTCCTCCCTTCCCTCCAGGTGACTGCAGCGCACAAGGAGCCTTGTTCGTCTCCATCTCCAGAATTCTCAGGGGTTCACATTCATGCTCACACAGAGCAGTCAGCAGGGAGGTGGCCTGGTTCACAGGCATAGATGTCACCTGGCACCCAATGCCACCCTCTGTGCTGGCTGGCACAAGGCATGCGGCCGTCTGCTGTATCCAGCAGACTGGAAGAGAACTCAGTCACCCTCACACCCTTAGGCCCAGCTCTTCAAGTCCGGGTTCCGGGGGTGGGGGAGCTGTGCCTGCTGGCAGCACAGTGGGTGTGCACGAGGCCCCCATTTGGGTACCGGATGAACACGGGCTCCAAGAAAGGATGTTGGCACAGCTGGCAAAGCTTTCGGTCAGAGAGCTGGATGGCACTGCCTTTCAGCTTCATCTGCAACAGAAACGAGACTGAGTGTGTGGCTGGCAGTGGCTTCGAGGGGCTCCCTCCCAACAGAGGTGACACATGGCCTCACAGGCACAACACTAGCGGGGTGGATTTCATGGGGGCTTCAGACAGTATGCAGAGGAGAAAATGAACACCACCATCCTTAGAAACTGGAAAAGGGAAAAAGCTACAAACTCTCTTTACTGGAGCAGTCACTGTACGCCTGGCATCTCTATCCTCCCTTAACCTTTTTGGAGCTCCGGCTGCTCCAACCCAGGCCTGTCACCAAGTCATGTGTTACAATAGAGTCCCAGGGGACCACAACTGTCATCTTCCACCCTGTACCTCTCACTGGTGAATGAGGAAAGCAAGGCACACAAAAGTGACTTAGTCATAGCCACACAGTGATGAGCGGCACACTCCTGACTGGTCCTGGGAAACAATGCCCGTCTTCAGAGGTCATGAACGTGGCTGAGGTGTAAAGCCCTTACCCACTCTGAGACTTGCCCTGTATTTCTGCTCAGTTCACTGGAGCCCACCCAGGCAGGGCTGATGGCAGCAATCTGGTAGATCGTCTTGTCCTCACACATGCACCCCCTCCATCTACAAACATGTGTCCGGCACCTCCAGCACCCTGAGCTTAGCCCTAACACGAAGATGAATGCACGAAGCTGCTGCCCCAGTAAACTCAAGGTCTAAGAGGAGGACTATTATGAGCGCATGCACAGAGTCTAGGTGGGCAGCAGAGGGGGACCCATTTGCCCCAGGGTGTGAGGTGGCTTTGCCATGGGAAAAGCCGGCTAAGCTGGCTGGCACTCACCAGGCAGAAGGGAAGGCAGGAGCACCCCAGGCAGCAGGGAACACACATGTAAAGGCCAGGAGGGAAGGAGGCACAGCATGTTCCCCCTGGGAGGGCACACGTGGCCAAGGCAGGCTGTGCACTGGGGAATGACAGGCCAGAGGGGAGACCCCAGCTCCCAGCCCTGGGGGCCTCACTGGGGAGGACACCTCAGGTCCCTGCTTGGCCAGCCACAGGGAGTACAGCACAGGGACAATGACGCAGGGTGGGAGGCACCTCTGCACAGTGATGTGACTTCCTGAGCCTCAGTATCCTGTCCTGAGCGATGATACCACATGATGAGGTGACATGGTGGTGAGGACCATAGGGCAGACAGTGTTCAACAGGCCCTCAGTGAGTGCCCTCATGGTCCTGTGTCTGGAGTGGGAGACCTGCACCACCAGCCGTGCCAGCCCCACCTTGGCCTCAATTTGCCACACTGCAGCATCTGCTGAGAATTAAAGACTACGTCCAGCCCACACCCACCTTATCATATGTGTAGAGCAGGTTTTCCGACCTGGCCAGGCCGAGAGCCAGCTGTGCAGTCCTTCTGGCATGGATGCTACTACGGACGGCCCCAGTGAGGAATGGGCAGAGAAGCTGTATCGACCAGGAGTCGGGCAGCAGCTGCAGCACCTGGGCGGCATCAAACTCTGTGGCGTGGCGGTTGAGCAGGTCCACAGCGGCCACAGTTAGTTCAGGGGCTGAGGGCTTGGCCTGCAGGTACATGGCCAGCAGCATGTGGAAAAGGCGCCGGCGGCAGGGTGCATCCTGTCCCTCAGAGCTCCACAGACAGTAGTCCTCCGCCGCCGCTGTGTCCCCCAGCTCGTGCACAAGGACTCCCAGGGCCTGCTCATGCTCGCCCAGCTTCCCGTGCAGGATGGCACGCTCCACAGGCAGGCCAGCACCCTGGATCCGCTCTGCAGGACAGAGGCCGCTGAGGGTCAGCCATTAGCCCAGGGCCCTACCTGGCCCCTCCACAGCTCTGGGTCTCAGAGTGGGTGATGGTCACTGTCACATGCTAAACATGGTCACCCAGGCCATCGGATGGAGAAGAGGGTATCTGGATCTCAGGGAAACAGGAGACAACCTCTTAGGTGAGGGCTAGAGAACCAACAAATCCAATGGTCTAGGACTGGAGAGGCCCGAGATCTCACTCCCCACATGACTATCCCAATCTGTCTTCCCTGGGCTGAATTCAACTGGAGGACAGGGCATCTTGTGCCCTGAGGGAGGTAACAGGACCCCTCCTGGCGGCCCCAACTCCTCAGTGCTCAAGCCTCGTGGAAAAACGTGTAGTCTGTGCAGTGCCTGCACATGTGTTTCCGGGCGCTTTCAGGGCCTGTGTGACTCACGGCTCCTGACAAGTTGTTTCACAGCGTTGTTCAGGGAGCAATGACCAGGACAAAGGCTACAATGTCAGCACAGACACTTTTTACAAAATATCTTCCACATGCCCCTGGTTGAATCACAGATGCAGAACCCACAGATAACGAGGCAGACTGTGCATCCCCCTTAAATCCAGACACCCCCAAAGCATGTGCTGAACCCCTTCACTCTTATTTCAAGTCTGCTCCACTGAAAGGAAAATGGGCTCACACTATTAAAAACCTACATCTAAATTAGCCAACAAAATGTGAGGACAAACAAAGTTTTCTTTTCTTTTCCTAGCAATGAAACTTCCAGGACAGAAGAAAAAGGAAAAGACAGACTCTAAGATAGCGTCAGTCCTTACCGAGGACCTGCCTCAGTGGGCTGACTCACCAGCGGTGTCCCTCTGTCCCTGGACTGTCTGTAACAGGAAGACAATACAAGTGCCCTTCCTGCTGTGAAGAGCATCCCAGGGTCATACCAAGGTCAGGGGCCAGTGTCAACAAATGACTACCCCGGGGCCCCCACTGCAGGCTTAGGCAGAGGTACAGGACAGTTCCAAGGGCTGTGGCAATTTCCATCTTCATACTCATCTCACCTGTAAATTCCCAGCCACCCTAAGCAGACAGATCAGGCAGGAATCATTACTACAACCTCCACAGCCTGGACTAGCCCCAAGTCACTAACAAGGGAGCATTGCCATGATGTGAGTGAAGTGTCCCCCACGGCTCTCAGGCTGGAGGAGATGGCATCTGAGGTTGAGTGTATGTGTGACAGAATTCAGAGCACTTGCCTAAGAAGTATGAGTCCTGGTCCCACCCGAGTACTGAGGGACGAGGGGGGAGAATGCGCACGCCCAGTACCAGAGCACAGGTCACGTGGACACTGCTCTGGAAGACACTAAGGTAGCTGGCCTTGGACCCTGGTCAGCTCTCCCTCTCCGAGAGGATACTGTGATCATCTCACCTATTAGGAAGTGGACTCGGTATAGGTCAGATTTCTGGAGCAGGCGCCGTAGCTTGGTCTGCGTCTCAGTGGCCATGGCATCACTGCTGCTGGTGGCTTCCCTCTGCTGCAGCAGCTCCTCCAGGTAGAGCACAGCCAGATGAGTGTGGTACTCTTCCTTCTGTGGAAGCAGAAGTGGGGTGGCACACAGACAGCTTTTGCAGCAGGAACATGCGGGTCTCATGCCAGCAGGGCTCCCTCAACCAGGCTTGCTGAGCAGAGCTGGCAAATTTCAAAGACCCCAGACCCAACATCCCACTGGGCCAGGAGCCTCCTGGGGGCCGCAACACACACATGAAGAGCTTGAAATCTGTGTGCTGGAGTCACAGGCCCATTGGATGGGGCAGGGTCCTCAGGTGTTGCCAGTGGGCGGTAGGAGCTCTGGTGGAAGGGGCTCTGGTGGAAGGTCCTCAGATCACAGGGGTGTGGCCCTCCCACGGACTGTGGAGCCCCAGCCCCTTCTTCCTGGGTGTGAATAAGTGGTTTTGCTCCACTGTGCATCCCTGCCATGCTCGCTGCCACATCACAGCCCTGAGCAACAGGTGGACTGAGCTTGGAAAGCAACCTTGACTGTGAGCCACAAGAACCTTTCCTCTCTGCAAATTAACTGTTTCAGGTGCTTTATCACAGTGAGAGAACCTGCACATGGAGAGCACGTAAGAGCTTATTTTTCACTGAGGAATTAAGGGCCACAGGACTAAGGTATTCTACACAAATGTACAGCTTCTCCCATCCCCTTTGAGGGTAATAAAGAGGGATGAGAAGAAGGATGTAAGTGGAGAGGACCCGATACTAGACATGGACAGGTCCCTTCCACCCAGCATCAAGCTCCCATAGGCCATCAGTACAGCCTGAGTGGCCAGTGGACCCGACTCTGGTCTCAGCACCATCCACCAGGAGCGGGCACTGCAGCCCACATGCCAGGTGGCTCAGAAGTGCTCACCTGCATGCTCCTGTCCACCACGAGATGCTCCAGGTACTTGACCAGGGCTCTGGGGTATTTTTTAAGGCGGCTGATGACATCGTCTGGATTAAAGCTGTTCTGCTGCTCACCCACAGGTCTCTTGGTGAAGACCTGAACTCCAACCTGAAGGAAGAGCAGGGGTTTGTTAGGAGGAGGCGCAAGGTCACTTCTCCACCTTCACTGTGGCCACCCCACATTATGTGCCTTGCACAAAGCCGTCACAAAGAGTACAGTGACAGAACAAGTCATGCGGTAATGACTTTCACTCTGTTAATCAGACTGCCATGAAGTGTCTAGGAAACATGGTTTTTAGGAGAAAATTCAACTGGAAGCACTGGCAAAGAGCAATGTCAGAAAAGCATCCTACACTTGGAAACACTCTGCACAACTCCAGCTGGAAGCGCTCTTAAAATGCTGGAAGCTAAACAAAGCAGCACTCGCTGGTAATGGGTTTTGACGGCCCCCAGGGGAACCACCTGCATCGTCAGGGTCACCCCCATTTGGAGGTGGTGCTAGGAGTAAGGGGACCAGTAGGGACAGCAGCAAGTTCCCAGTGCCAGAGTCCAGGGCTCAGGCCACAGGCGATGGGTGGCTCCCCTGGGCACTCAGGTGTCATCTCTGCCACATTCACACTACAAACCCCAAGGAAATGGGAAATGGGTCCTTAAGCTGGGTCTGTGCATCACCTCCAGCACCTCCAAGACCTTGGCCAAGTGTCCTAACCTCTCCAGGTTTCAGTACTGTCCGGGATGCCCAAGGGGGTTGTGTGCTATCCAGAAGAGATGACAGAGCAGGGTGCGGACTTGTGTAACTTCTGCCATCTACCTCCCTAACCTCAGGGAGGGCAGCCCCTGCCAGGGCACAAGCTCTGTGTCACAGGCATGGCAAGTGTGGCAGGGTGGCTCTGCAGGTGTGCCCAGGACAAAGGGAGGGCAGAGAGATAGCACAGGCTTCAGCCTGGGCTTTGATCCAGCAGAGGTGAAGCTCAGAAGCTTCTTCATGTGGACAAAGACCTTGCCTCAGAGAGCTGTCATCCCACAGAACCAGGGCAACATGCAGGCATTCAATGGTGTGAACACAAATGCCTGCTCTCTGTCCCTGTCCTTGTCCTCTATGGGTGCTTCTCAGAACTTGGTCCCTCTAGCCTGACCATGCTACCCCGCTCCCTCTCTAATGGGCCGAGTCCTGCTTGCCATGTCTCCCACCTCCACTTCTCCTGCCTCTCTGTGTCCAGAGAGGAGCAGAGAAGAGGACACTGGCGGCCTTGGCAGGCCCCATGCCTGGGCTGTCTCCTCTCAAGGACCATGCCCTGCAGGCAATAGCAGTGCCAGACTTCAAGTTGGATGGCCAGGAGGTGAATTAAACACCAAGGCACCAAGAATGGGGGTGGAGGCCAGGCTTCCAGCTGGAAAGAGGGTTCCAAGCAGCACAACTCAGAGTCACAGAATGCAGGCGCTCCTCCAGACTCAGAAGGTTCAAAAGAAAGCATTAAAAGGGGAACAAAGAGCCAGGTGTGGTACTGCATGCCTGTCATCTCAGCACTCAGGAGGCTGAGGCAGGAGGATTTCAGTGAGTTTGAGGTCAGCCTGGCCTACACAGTGAGTTCAAGGCCTGAATTACACAGCAAGACCCTGTTTCTAAATGAATAAATGAATAAACAAATAAATGGGGGGCAATGAAAGCAGAGAGCTAGTCATGGTGGCATATGCTGCCTGAAACCCTGCACTAGGGAGGTGGAGGCAGAAGGATCACTGCAAGTTCAAGACCAGCCTGTGCTACAGAGTTCAAGATCAATCAGCTTGTTTTACATAGTGAGACCCTGTTGCAAAAAAACAACAAAAACAAAAAGAAAGAAAGAAAGAAAGACAGAGAGAGAGAGAGAGAGAGAGAGAGAGAAAGAAAGAAAACAGAGGAGGTTGAAATGCAGCTTTTGTCCCCACCTAGGATCAAGGGATTTGGGGCCTGTTTTTATCAGCCACCTTGAGAAAGGAATCACCAAGGAAGCACAAACCTCCTCACTTTTCTGCAGGACCCAGTCGGCATAGGTCCACACCAGCTGCTGATCAGAGCAGTAGGTCAGAAAATCCACGATGTATTCATACAGGTCAGAGCGCGTGGAGTCCTGGATGTTACCATTCACAATGTTCACCCACAACTGGACAGGAACAGAACATTATGTTACACACCCTACTTTATGAGAATTAGCTTAGAGAGGCCATGCATTTACTTGGGCTTTTAAGACTTTTACAAATACAAACATCCCTTACCCCAAAACCCCAAATCTGAAACTTTTTAAAGCATGATGACACTGTACTTTGGATTTCAGAGTTTTGGGTTAGGGTGGCTTTACCAGTAAAATCTAGGTAAATATTCCAAAATCTGAGAAGCTAAAATCTGAAACACTTCTGGGCCCAAACATTTTGGACAAGAAATACTCAACCTGTAACAGGGCAAACTGTAAATGCTGAGCTCAAATTTAATTTTTTTTTTTTGATAAAGAAATGTAAAGAGACAGTTCAGAAGATCAAGAAAATAAACCACCTTGTTCTTTCCTTCCTTCCTTTTCTTCCTGTTCCTATCCCTCCCTCTCTCCCATCCTTTCCTTCCACCTTTGTGCAATACAATAACACAAGCAGCAAATGACATTTATGGGGAGAGATGAAGGTATTTAACATGTTTCTTCAGAAATCATGTGATCACTGCCAATGCCAGGGCCCAGGACAGAGAGGAAGCTCCTCCACAGGCACCAGCTCATTTGTCCCCCTTCTCTACCACAGGTTCCAGATCTTGGGGTCTTCTCTGGGCTGTGATGGGCAGATGCTGTGCTTTTCAAAAAACTTTGGTGACGGTCCCCAGGGGCTCCCACTGTCTTTTACACAGAAGCTGGGGGTGGAACCCAATGATAAAAGTCTTTTGGCATTATGACCAAATCATGATAACTGAAGCTCACTCTGGGGACCAACACAAGGCAGCAGCATGAGGGCAGGAAGGCACGGAGGCTACACGTGAGGTCTCCCCCATCACTGCCCAGTGAGCCTCAACCACATCCACCTGGCTGCACTTTCAAGCCCCAGATCCCGAGAGAAGCTTGAGAAACAAGTTAGCAATGTGACTCTGTCATTCTGGGGCCAGCGCACTGACCTCCAACATGGTTCAGTCTCCCTCACCCAAGTGCCTGGGAGCCTGGGATCACAAGGCTTTTAGAATATTCGCATACACTTCATGAAACACTTGGGGTTGGGACCCAAGTCTAAGCATGAAATGCATGCATGCTTCATGTAAACTCATATATGTAGCCGGGAGGGAATCTGATGCTTTTTAAGTCATTTCCTGCTTGAAACAAAGTTTCATGGTATAGAATTTTCCACTTCTGGCATCATGCCAGTACTCAAAAAGTTCTGGGTTTTGAAGCAGTTCAGATTTTCAGATTAGAGATGTTCAACCTGTATGAGCTTCCTTATCAGTGAATTCCCCCAAGCAAATAACTTAGCCCTATCTACACCGAAAAGTGCTTTTGTTAATAGAATTTTGCCACATATGAAGATTTACTCTGTATTATTTCAAGTCTGCAAATTTCTTTTTCCATTTAGTTTTGCTAATATTATTGCACTTTTATCAAGCTGTAATTTAAGAAAAGAATGTTTTTAAAAAATGTAAACTGGGGGCTGGGGATTTCAGCTCAGTGGAACCGTGCCTACCTCTCAAGTGCAAGGTCCTGAGTTTGATCCCTGGTACAAAAAAAAAAAAAATGTAAACTGGGCTCAGTGGAGCACATCTGTAATCCTTGCTACTCAGGAGGCTGAAGCAATAAGAATTACAAGTTCAAGGCCATCCTGGAGAACATAGCAAGATCTCACTTCAAAATAAAAATTGGAAAAGGGCTGGGAGTACAGCCCAATGGTATAGCACTTGCCTAGCATGTATGAAGTGATGGGTGGGTTCAATCCCCACTAATGCAAATAAATAAATAAGTAACCACAATATGCAAATCTATTCTCACATGGTGGTACATGTTCATGGGAACCCATTCTTTGTTTCATTCTGCTCTGTAATCTTGTTATCATGATAGTTCCTCAAAGCCATTGAAGACTATGAAGAGCCACGTTTGGCTCTGCTAATGTCATGGAGTTGATTTTAGTCTAGTGAATGTAGCTGATGTTCTCGGTCAATCACAAAATTAAACAAAAAAGGCACACAAGGAAAGCGTTACACAACCTAATGCAGGTGGGCAGCAGGGACCAACAAGGGAGAAATTCCGAGCATGAAAGACATGGCTTTCCAGAGTAAGCAGGCTGCTGCAGAATGCTAGAGCAAGTCCATGCTGTTTTCTGTTTAGGTGCAGCACCCCGCCAGCCACCAGGAACACTGGCTCTACATTGACCATGCCTGGCTCTGCCCAGCCTAATCACCATGATGTGGGGACAGTTACAACTCAGCTCCTTCCAACCATTATCATCAGTGACAGTGAAAACTATAAACTCAGCTGTCCTATTTCATGACAAGCAGTGTTGTCATTTGCTTTGCTGCTCAGTAAGAAGTGATATTTTCAACTTGGTTTCGTGAAAGTCGAGCAAATAGCGGTTATTAGATGTTGGGAAGGGTGGGAGACAGAGGGTAGTTAGATAACATCTACCAAAATACAGTTAGGTAGGAGAAATAAGCCCTATAGTTTTCAGCTCAGCACAACAATTTATAATGTACTTTAGAAGTAACTAAACCAGAGGAGTTTGAAGGTTCTCAACAGAAAGAAATGCTAAATCTAAGGAGACAGAAATGCTAATTACCTTGATTTGACCATTCCACACTGTATACATGCACTGAATTACCACACCATGCCCCATAAATGTGCACAATTATGTCAGCTAACATTTACTACTTTTTTCATTTCTTCAATTTTCAAAAGTTCAACTTTGATAATGTTCTTTAGAGAGATGTAAAGACAAAGAAAAGGAGACTCCTGGGCAATAGTTCTCAAAGAATTCATTTCCTAAACCAGTATTACTATTTTTTCTATATAAACAAGGTAATGGATCAGGCAAACATGGTCTCTATCAATCTGTGACTTTTTAAATTAAATGATACCAACTGTCAAATCATGCTAAGATGCCTTTAAGCTCACCTGAACTGCAGTAGCATCTTGCTTATTGTAGTGGTAGAGCAGCCCCAGTGCAAAATACCTGGAAGAGACAAGGTGGTGAGCACCAGCCCCGCGCACCACAGTTAGCTGCCCCACAGCCAGGGTCTGGAGTCCTGGTTTCTCATCCCTCAACAGTCAACAGGTAATTTCACATGACCAACGAGTCTCAGGTCTGCTCATTTTATTTATGGTATTAGAAATACATGCTCTATCAATCTCCAGAAAGGATCTGACTCCAGTCAAAGATGAGCCAAAAAAGAAAGCTATAATGACAGTACTTGGAAAATCACATTGGGAATTGCTTTACAATTTACTTCAAGTACTAATACAATTTCCCCTCACTTCAGTACTGATCCATCCTGTGGTACTGGGAGTTGGGCAGGCACGCAGTCTGAGCATGCCTGAGGGAAGGCTGAGGCATCCCCACTGGACCACAGCAGCAGGTGACCACGGTGTCCAGGCACTGCACACAATGCAAAGTCGGGCCTGCTGGGGGAGCCTGGAGCTCAAGGGCCTGCCTTTCCATTCAGGCTTTGTAACAGATGAAATGTGGGGCCTGGGGCACGCAGGTTAACTTCTCTGCCTCCTGGGTCTCCACTTGTAAATGGAGAAGACAGCAGTTACCATGGCATTGCCTGGGCAGTGCCCTCCCCCTTGAGTAGGAGTGCTGGGCTCCTGGCCTCCTCCTGTCTAGCAGGACTGAGGTCAGATCACCTATCAAGAAGTCAGATTCTTTCTCTCAAACAGCAAACTCTCAAGACACTGAAAAATCAGGTGTAGGAAAGTTGTGCTGCCTGCAGATCCTCCTCCCGAGTCCCCACCACACGGTGTCAGTGTGTGTTCTGGATCCTAAACAGAACACAGGTCAAGCATCTCTAACCTGAGAATCTGACAGCCAAGATAGTCCAAGATCTAAAAATTGTTAAGGGCCATCAGGACCCATAGGACGTTTCAGATTTGGGAGCATTTCAGATTTTGAAGCTTTTTATTTATTTTTTAATTTTTATTTTTTGTGATACCAGGGATCAAACTCAGAGCCTTGCACTTGCCAGGCAGGCATGATACCACTAAGCTACATCCCTGGGCCATGAAGCATTTTAGATTCTGGATTTTTAGGTTAGTGATGCTCAACCAGTAAAGTCCAGGCAAACAATCCTGCTATGGCTTGTATCTATGTGCCCCCAAAGCCTCATGCAATCATGGGGAGCTTTTCAAAGGTGGCTGGATACCCATGATCCCAGAATCATGGGTATGTGGTACTAGATTAGTCCAATGATTGGTTTGGCATACTGTGGATAATGGGAAGACCCACCCTGGGTATGAGTGCCACCTGCCCTAAGGGCGGTATCCTGGATAGAAGATAAGGGACACAAAGAGGGTTGCTGCTTGTAGTCTGCTGTCTCATTACATCAATGCCTTGCTGCCTTCTGCCTGCCCTGTCATGAACTGTTTGTCCTCTGTGATGCCTCTCTGCCATGCCACCCTGCCTCAGAGCCAGCCAACTATGGACTGAAACTTCTACAAACAGCTGAAATAAGCCTTTCCTCCTTTAACTTTAGGTGTTGGGTGTTTTGTCTCAGCAAAAAGAAAAGTAACTAAGACAAACCCCAAATATGAAAACCGCATGTGAAATACTTTTGGTCCCACAGATAGTCAGTCACCCTGTGACACTCACCCCATGATGTTATCCCACAGTATATTCGAGTGCTCATGGCAAGTGGCGGAAGCCATGTAATCTCAGGCACTGAATGGGATCTAGCACTGACCCAGAGTTTCTGGGGATTCTGTCAGGATTGCTGCTATTTCAAATTCTTAACAAAAACCATATACAAAAAATCTTATTTCTTACATGGAATCAAGGGCTCACCTGATAGCCATCGTTTCTGAAGAGAAGAAACCTGAGGCCTAGAAAGTGGGCTTTGTGACAACCTGCCCAGGGAGGGAGCTGCCGGCCTAGGCCAAGCCAGCTACTACGCACTCACGGCCACTCACCAGCTCCCAGTCATGATGCAGCAGTCTCCATCTATGACCTGGAACCACCACGGTGGTGGAGAAGCCTCCCCTCTCATCTACTCATCTGGAACCGATCTAACCCTCTCTCCCGTCAGTGACTTCAGTGAGCTACTTTATAAGCCTGTGTCATCTTCCACAGGCAAGTCCTTGGTAGACATCTAAAAACATCTCCATTTACTAACAATTCCCATGGCTAGTTCCACGCTGTGAAGAATGGGCATGACAGTGAATGCCCTGCAAGACCCCTTGGACTGTGATGAGCATGGTGTCACTGGGATCTCACGGTGGTCACCGCCAAGGCCCTGCTAGTTGAAAGAGCATCCCAACAGTGTCCCCTGAAGGGACCTCAGAAAGGGGGGCGCAGACAGGCTGGGAGGGATGCCCATTGTGCTGCGAGAGAACACTCACTTTCTGTGCTTCTCCAGCCAGGCCACACTGTCTGTCAGAAGGCAGAAGTTCTCAGTGACCAGGAGGTCCAGCAGGCTATCGTGGTCAGCCTCCGCGTACAGCTTGAGCAGGGCCGTGTCAATATCCTCCTTGTAGCCATTGGCCACCTCAGTGCTGCGGACCTCATTCAGGTAGCTCATGAGGAAGCGCTTGCACTTGGCCATCTTCTCCTGGTCGCCCTGTGTCAGCTGGTTCAGGTCTGCATACTCGTGGAGTGGGGGGTGAGAGCGGGTAAAGGAGGAAGAGGTGGGCAGCAGGAAGGGGTGCAGGGAGATCAGCTCTCGGACGTCGAGTTGCCCACTTCTGCAATGATAGCATCAAGCCAGATGGAGGGGCATGCAGAGGGCCAGGCAGGGCAGGACTGTGGATGGGCACATTATAGTGTGGGGTGGGCAACGGTTGTGTAGAAAAGCCATCCTAATTTGCCAGTGCACAGGAGCACTACCAAATCAGGAGCCACCCTGGTTCTTAGAAAGGATAGGGGTGACAGTAAGAGGTGAGTAGGACCTCAAGACACTTGTGCTGCTGAGAAGACCCAAGTGTACACTACAACTCAAGCTGAAGCCAATGCTTTCCCGGCACTAAACTGTGCACAGACACCTGAATGGTCCTAAAAGAAGGGACTTCATAAGCCCTAAAGCTAAGATGCTAACAGTGAGGAGCACGGGACTCTGTTCCAGTGACAGACAGGCCTGGCTTCCACTCTGGCCAGATGAGGACACTTCCCTATGAACACAGTATGGCAGCAATGAAAAACGGGCGTTGGGAGACACTCAGGATGTGAATAAGAGGGTCTCTGACATTGTAGGGATAACAAGATATGGCAGGAAAGAAGTGAGGTCCACAGGGCAGAGAATGTATTAAAACTGCCAAGCTGCCCTATGCCAGGACTGGGGTGGGCAGCACAGTTCCCTAGCACAGGGGAAACTTAGTGGCAGGTGCAGCACCTCCAATTACCTGAAGAGCTCTTTAGCTTCCAGGAACTGAAGCTGAGCAAACTGGATGAAGCCGGCCTGCTGCAGAATCCTTCTGTACATCACCTGTAAACAGAGACAGTGTTCATATCTCTGAAACATCTCGAACCATCAGAAGGGGAAACAGAATTTCGAATCCACAACCCAGGCTAAATGTTAGTTATCACAGACACACATGAAGTTACAATTTAAAGAATGAATCAGATGTATATGAAATTTATCGGACAGTGGTCCCTTCCTCAGTGACAGAGGGGCACTAGTTTTAGGACTGCACAGATACCAACCCCTGACAATGTTCAAGTCCTTTCTAAAACATCATTGTGTTTCCACAGAACCCATGCAATCCACCCATAGGCTTTACATCATCTTTACATTGTGTATAATACCCAATGTAGTATCAGTGTTATGGAGATCACTGTTATACCATCTTGTTTCCAGAATAATAATGAGAAAAATATTTGCACATATTCTGTACCTGTACTTTTTCGATTTGTTTTTTTCAGTGCTGAGCATTGACCTAGGCCGTCGCGCAAACCAGCCATATGCACTCTCAGAAACACAGCTGCGGTTTGTTCCTGGGCCTCAGTGGGGAGATATCAGAAAAAGCACATGGCTAAAGCCTTTATTTCCCTTCTCCCACACCAGCCATCTCAAACCTAACCTCTGGCCCAATTACGCCACCAAGCAAGAAACAGAAGGCAATTGTCTGAAAATATGAAATAAGAAGAAAAGGGCTAAAGGTGTAGGGGAAGTGGGAAGAGTAAGGGAAAGGAAATAGGGGACAAGAAAAAATGTGAGAAAAGGGAAAAATGGAAACAAAGTCTCCGTAAATAGGGGAGGATGGAGGGGGTGAAGGGAGGGCAGGGACAAGGGGGAAAAATGAGAACCAAGACCTGACATGTAAAAGGTACAAGATCCCAATGATGAATGTAACTGTACTGTATACCGAAAATGTACCGATAAACTCAGCAACA